AATTGTCCTGGAAATGGAAAGGCAGGAAAAGATTTGCTACAGAGGATCCCATGTCACACTGGAGTGATAGCTTCTTTTAACACATGACCACTTACTTGCCAATTGGCCCAGGGTAAATGGCTAAATTCCTTAATCTATATTCTTGTGTATAAAAAGAGGATACAATTTCATTTATGTTTTAAAGTGATGTGAAATGATTTCTTTGCTAAAAAATAGAGCACCATCCTATGGGACCGTTGAAATACATTTTAATTTCAATTGAACATTATGTTGTAATCATTATATATTATCTTGTCATTATTATAAACCCAGTAGTTTATAATGAGTTACAATTCACCAGTCTTCATTATTCCATAAAATATGTTGGCTATTTCTTGGTGCCTGGGACATAGGACATACTCAAGAAGCCTTAGTGTCCTTTCCCCTTCCTCATTTTTCAAAGAGCAGACACTTTGATAACCAGAACAGGTGGTATGTCTTCTACCAAGGACACTAGGTTAACCCCTCTACTTTTATTCTTATTTTGTCAGAAACCCATGAGCAGTATTAAATCATACCCATGTGTTTATTCTACTCTGTGTATTGCTCTAAATTAACAAAATCATTTTTGAGAACCCACCATTGCATCTCATAGATGTGGAAGTAAAAATAATAAACAAATGAATTAAATTAGAAAATAATTTCCATGTTGCAATCCAAATGGAAAAAAGCATCTAATTAACATATGTCTGCTTTTCTTACCTCTAAGGATTGAATCAGTTTTACTACTAGCAATTCTATTATTTACATTACACTCACTAGGAATTATGTTGATATGTTAATTTATTCACATGACTACCAGGGAAAGGATTTACTATTTATTTCTAAATAATGCAGAAATTGAGGGAAAAAAAATAAGTTGTTTGAAGAAAGATGCCAAGTGTTCATGCCAGAATCGGGATTAGAAATCAGGCTGTTTTTGTTGTTGTTAATAGTAACAATACCAACAATAATTTATTGGATGCCAAGAGAACACTGGTTTCTAGGCAGAATCACTTGCCAGGGCTGCTGCATTTTGTTTGCAAACTAAGATTTTACATTTAAATTCATTTCAAGAAATTTATCCATGTGGCTTTAAAAATTCCTATCACAGGACCCCAAAACCTTGCAAACCAGTTTTCCAATTTTGAAACCACACATGTGCAGTTATTTTATATTCTAAAAGACAGTTTCCTTTTTGATAAAATAGCTCTAGAAAAAAGATCCCCAGTCTTTATTTAAAAACTCTTGCAAGACAACTGCCTGATTTGCATGTCCTTTGTCCAACACGCATTTTCAACATGACATTTTAAAATCTAGCCCATGTTTTATTTAACAAAAGTTGTGCTCATTTTTAGTATCTAAAGTGACAGCTTACACTCTGTACCCTTCTTTGCTGGAAACGAAAGCTACACCAACCAGGCCCTTCACAAATGCTTCAACAAAAGAGCCAAACAAAACCAAAGTACAGGGAAGGTTGACAAAGGCATTCGGATAGCTGATCAAGCTTCTGAGAGTATTTAATCACCATTAATTCTTTCCTCACCCTGTATTTCCTTCCTATAATTCCCAATAGCAAAGCAAATACTGTGTATTTTCATGTTGTAGTCTCCTCAAAACCTTTGTGGAAGGAGTAGTGTCTTTTGGCATTATGTTTAAGTAGCAAGGTATGTATGGATGCATTTGGAATGTAAAGATCGGATCTAAAAAAATCAGAAAGTAGAGTCAGAATATTGCTACTACCACTCAGAACTTACATTCTGCCACTTTCTGCGAACCCGTGAAATGTCAACTACTACAATGTGGTAATTTTCACCTCTTCTCTTTTCCTACTCTTAGGCACCAAATGGCCTACCAGCTGTAAGCAGTTTTGTGTCAGCATCCAGTATGGCTCCTTATCCTACCCCGGCCCAAGTGTCGCCTTACATGACCTACAGTGCCGCTCCTTCCGGTTATGTGGCTGGACATGGGTGGCAACATGCCAGCAGCACCCCACTTTCCCCCCACAACTGTGACATTCCCGCCTCGCTGGCGTTCAAGGGAATGCAGGCAGCCAGAGAAGGTAGTCACTCTGTCACGGCTTCTGCGCTCTGATGGGAAATTCTGTCCGCAGCAGCTTCACCCCGGCTCCCCTCCGCAACCCTCCCCCTCTTCCCGGATCCCACCCCTCCTGCCCTCCCGCCCCCAAAGCTGGCTTTACGGACTCACGTCCTTTGTGCTGGTGACACTTAAATATTTCTTGCCATAACTTCTCTCTTACAGAAAACCTGACATGACTTTAGGATTTGAAAACAAAAGCAATCTTAAGGATTGAATGAGACATTTGTGTTGCCCACACACTGTTTAACGTAGCAAAGAAACCTGCACCCCTCAAAGGGCTTAAGGAACTTTTAAAACTAGTCTTTGGTAAAACCACATGTGTATATTTATTCTAAATCAACCTGAACTTTTGAAACGTGCAATTGTTGAGATTTTGCAAAATCAATAAAGGAAACTACATATAGAAAAAAAAGTTATGCTATACCCTCTAATCAAATAAGGTGACCAAATAAGCTTTAATTCATCATTAGGAAACTAATCAATAATTGACTTATTTGAGTGATGCTTTGTTTATTTTTAAGAGATGACCTATTTGTTGCAAAATATAATGTATAACACAAGCAATATCTGAATTTAGCTCCTCCTGGTGTTTTGACTTGGTTTCATACAATAATGTTTATATTTCCTATTAGTTTGTAAATATGGACTCTGGATGGTGCATTTGTGTTTTCATCCCGTGGGATATTCCCTCTCCCTCCCACCTCTATCTATTTTTTTCTTTCTTTTTGCAAAGGTGACTTTCTGGCAACGTCTTTGTCTCTGTTTGGTGGTGGGCTGCTCGGGCTCCTGGACCTGGACTTGCCCCAAATTTTGTGTGTGCAGTGAAGGCTTCAACATCTTATGAAGGACACTTTCTTTCTACAGCAGAGGACTCAAAAGCAGATTAAACAAGCCAGTCTCCCATTTTGTATCCTAATCAAACAACACACATGCCAAGAATATAAAGACATGAGGGTGGAAAATATCTGAACAAGAAGGCTTTAAAGGAAGTCACTTAGAAACTTAAGTTTAATGTGAAACGCTTTGCAAAGACACTTAAAATGAACTTTATGTTAAGAAAAACCACTGTGAAACTAAATTGTACTGTTATTGTTGGCTTACCTGTGTGTTCAGCAATCTCAGCCCAAAATTATGTTGTAATTTAAAGAAAATGGAAAATTCTGCTCTAATGAATGTAAAAATGGCTTGCTGTGAAGTTTACATTGTTGTACAGAAGCATATTTCACATGTAGGTAAACTGGTGGTGGTATTAGAAATACAAATGCTATTTAATTTTTTAAAAAAATTCCCTTTATTCATTTCTGGAGATACAGGACATAGTTTAGCTGATAAGTCTTTCTAGACCAATTGGGTTTTCACTTTTATGTTTAATAGTAGAGCTGTGGGGTATACGTGTGAGTGAGCGTGTGCTATGTGTTTTTAAAACAACTGCTTTTCTTGGGCAAAACTCTACAGTTTTTCTCTTCTGTTTAGAAAGTTCTTCCTGCTTGGCAATATGTAGGCTTGAAACTACACTTTAAAAACATTGGTACAATTCATCTATTGGAAAAGTAATATATTGTGGGTTTCATTGTTTTTTAAAAATATTTTTTGGTGTTGATTCTGTGCAATAATTAACAGGGCACATCACTAGATGTGGATGTTAAAGATGCATTCGTTAGGTGATCTCGATTTCTTCTTGTCTATGCTGTGTGTGCACAGTCTACATGGCAGTCCAGTTCCGTCACATTGGTTTCATGGCTTCATTTAAAACTCAAATGGCTAGATGAGGTAGGTTTTCAGATCACTAGCATATAAACAGTAAGCAGATTTCTGACACATGAGTTATACTCGAGGAGTTGCTTTTTTCAAGCAACATATCTTATAGAGAGAGCTTTGAATGGCATTTATTTCTAAAGCAACCAAAATTCAGTGCTACAAACAGAGGATTATAACTTCAGGAGAAGAATAAGCAGAAGGAACAGATGAACTCTCAGGGCCATAGTCTTCCTTTGATCTTCTAAAACTCCTATTGACATCTGGAGTTCCCAGTCTGGTGAGAAAATAGACTATAAACCAAACGGAACAAAGATACCAGTCCAATATTTTGGTGGAGACTTTAAAACCATACCATACAGGCACTCTCCTGCCATCCAGAAAAACTGACATAAGGTATAGAATTGTCCCTTATCAGATATTTTTGTGGATGGCTACTAGGAGTCTTTAAAAAAAAAATATATCAATCATTTGTAGGGAAACACAATGAAATATTATTTTCTTTAAATTAAGAAATCTCGTTATGCTATTTATAATTTTTTTCTTGTTCTTGTATTTTTAAAAAAATACTAATATTAATGATATCAAGATTTTTTTTTCTTCTCTTTTTCCCCCAGGTCTTTTCTTAGCAACAGTGAATTCACACGGAGTAACTTAAGAAAGACAACAGAAAGCTAAAACACAATTTGCTATTCAAGGCAAAATATGATTTAAAGCTACTTTTACAAATAAGAGAAGGAAAATGGGATGGGGTATGGAACTGGGATTGTTTGATTTTTAAATGTTATTATTATGGGCTAATGTTGACATATTTCCTTTGTTTCTTAGGGGGTAAAAGTGTTGTTTTTAAACTGGCAAATGCACTCTTCAGAGATCCTTTTCCATCCCATTCACAGGGAGAGGTTAAAGGTTCAATTTCATGGCCTCTATCCAGGCAGTGCTCTCCCTCACAGGATGCAAGAGCATTACCTGCAAGGAGAGAATGCAGTTGTACAACAGACATATTCTTATTTCTCTTGTTTTTTTTTTTCTCCTCCTTTAAATGACCTTCTTATGGAATATTGGGCTGAAATATAAGTTAAAAAACACGTTGGAAAGGATGTACAACCGAAGGCTGTGTATGTATATACAGTATGTCAAAAAGCCTTTATTTTTATACTTCAAATGCTCTAAATTAATAAAAAGTAATAATTATCAAGTTATCTTTTATTTTTTATTTTCAAAATGCTTTAGTGACATAGCCTCATGGTAGAAATATCCCTTAGCAGTAGTTAAGAACACGTATCATCTAGAGTGTGCAGACATTTTGTTGACTTTAGCTACCGAAGTAGCATCATTTCAGGATGCAAATATAAAATCAAGTTTGGTTATACCAGTGCCAAGGAGATATTTTTAGAGTGCATGTTAGTACAGGAATCTTTGGAAATGCTAAGAATGTACTTCTATTTTGAAACATTTTTCCTTTCATAATGCATATTTTAACAATGCAGACAGTTGACTTCACACCTGAAGCTATCACTTGAAACTAATAACTTGGAAATGTAGTTTTGCTCTAAACATTCTTTCTAAGAATGGCATAGGTAAGAATTCTGAACAAAGATAGCTGGATGCAAATACAGACCGCACAAATGGGCCCAAGGAGTGGTTCCAATTTGTGTTTTAACATGAAAATATTTCAGCAACAAAAATTGTTTTCAAAGGGAATTATGTGAAGGAAAATAGTTCAATATAATTCATGTGTTCTATTTGCCATAAAAGACTTCACATATCAGGATTTAAAATATGACCTGCTTTAAACAACAGTACAAAATATAAAGTGGATTTGGGAAAATATAGCTGTGATGTGTATTATTACTCTAAAGAACACCAACAAATTTAAATTTTGACATAAAATGCAGCATTTTAAAAATGCCATTTTAGTGTACTTTGAAAACATTTTCCTTGTGCCTTTTAAATATTATTTATGGGAGAATTTAATTACTTATAAAAACTACTCAAATTTTGGCTTTTTTTTATTACTTTAAGCATTTCTTGATCTCATGGGAAAAAGAATTATTAATACAGTGCATTTTCATATTGAAGCAGTATAGGAGGAAAACATCACAAAATTTATATAATTTTTGTGAAATCTGATTTCTATACTATTTTCTATGTTCAGTTTACATACCTGATTACTTCATACTATTTTTTGTCTCACAGATTTATAGATAGGGCCAAGAGTACAGTCTCAATTTGTCTAGAGAGAATTTCTGAAGTATCAAAATAGGTTTTGTTCTTGAATAAGCTCTTTCCCCTTAATAATTGTATATAATTGTGTAATTATAATGTATAAGCACATCAGCTGAGCTGATAGTCCCTCCTCATGGTGCTGTATGCCAGATATCCATGATCTCAACCTTCTAAGGCAATCACCAGTTCTTCTGAAGCCATGAATAGGTGTATTCATAAACCAGCAGCATCACCGCACCACCTAGAAAAGAAAAGAGCTGGTTTTTATCTAAAATCCTGCAAAACAGTGTTCCTTTCCCCCACTGGGTTTCTGAAGCTGTGAAGTCCCATAGGCCTATCAGGCAAGGGCTGTTTAGACTCATCAGGCCTTGGACTCTAATACATAGATATAAAACTACTGTGGAAAATTCTCAGAGCAAAATCAAGACCATCTTGAGCCTCTGAATACATTTTTTCCCCATGAGTTTCTGTAACTTTCATCATTTCTCATCAGATTCTTTTTCAGGCACTTTTAATTTTTAAAAGTAAATAAATATAGACACATTTAGTCATGTAAGGGCATGTGGCGTTCCTGCAAACAAAAACCTTCATATTTTTCATATGTGGGCAGAGGATTTATCTTTTTCGGTCCATAATTAGCACTTCCCTAGTTGCATTCAAGAAGGAAAGCTCTGAGAAGGTGCTTGATAGATGAATCTGGTTTTCTCCTATTGCCTTCAAACTGCATTGCAATGTGAAAAATAGCTTCTGAGTATTTAAAAAGATGTGTATTGCAAAATATAGCTAGCTTTCAACCTCCTTTTGCTTTTATTCCTTTTATCTGCCTCAGATATGAATGGATTGCACTTGAACATTTGGTAGTGGGGTTTGGGTGTCACGGACCACTATTTGTCTTAAAAGGTCAGCAGGACTATGATACAGGAAAAAAAGCACCAAGATTGCAGAATACCTAGAAATCGGAAGAGGCATCAACATGTGGATGATTTTGTGTTCCATGTGATCCAGTAAGTGGCACATGCCCCATGCTCTTTAATATAACCTATATTATCCTCTCATGTCTGCATGAAAAATATTACAAAATCAAATGGGGACAAGTATCTTGAGCATAACTTTAAGAAGACTTGGCCTCATGAACAGAAGATTGACTTCTGATGAAAATAAATAGAACTTGATTTTGATCTTAGTTCTTTTGTACACACTGCTGTGCGTGTGTGTGTGTGTGTGTGTGTTTTAATCTGCAGGCCACACATGTTTGTGTAACCTTATACCAAAGATAATTATCTGCCTGTAATTTTCATTTTTAACCCATGAAGATACTCTATTAGATCCCTCTCAGCTTCTGTAGCCCTCTTGGCACTCTGGCAAACAAAAAAAGACCCACGTACAGAGGTTGTTAATACCTATGTAATTGCTGTGTTTACTCTTATTAACTGTTCTCCATGTAAGACAAGAACTTGCAGAATTGGGTTAGTTTGCAGCCTAGCGATATTTGGAGTTTAAACCACAGACTTCAAGAGCCTCCTTTCACAGGACATGACTGGTTGTTAGCCACATATAGCTGCTGAGGCTGTTCTAAAAAGAAGATGGGATGCTTCCCACAATGAAGGATGAAAATCCCAGATTTACCCTTTCTTTCATTTTTTTTTTACTCTTTCTCTTTGAAAAAAAAGTCTTAAGTCAAAGGTACCTTTCTCTTTCTCTTTCTTTCCTTTAAAGTTGCTGGGATTTGCATGTTTGGAGGACTTACATGTGAGTGTGGGCCAGGTCCCTGAAGGAGATTTCCAGTCATTCACATTTTTGTTTAGCCTGGACAGTCCATTCACAACAAGCCTTTTCCTTGTATTTAACACCACAGCAACTCAGGACACCTCATGCAAAAACATTTAAAAAGCCAACCAAACATTTGCAAGCCTCTAACAAAACTTGGGGTCAGATTATTTAAGACTTTTGGATTAAGGTTCCACTCAATTACTGTTTTAGATAAACTCTCCATGATCACCACTCTTTTTAGGCCCATCGCCTCCTGAGAAAGCTGGGTTAGGGTCATTCCTATGATTTTCTCTAATACTAGGTCTACCAGCAGGGTTTTACTGTGTGGTGAAGGGAAAACATATACCGGCAGAGAGAGTTGCAACAAAATCACCAATATTCTTTGTCATTGGCTTCGTTTTATACCCATTGTTTTTATGCCAATGAGTAACAGGAGGCAAGTCCAAATCTCAAACGTGAAGCAAAATCCATGCTTAAATGTCTAGAAAGGTTAGGATAGATGGACTGGGAATTGTGGAAGTGTTTTCTGAATACATGAAAGCATGAGCTGTCCCCTACCTCAGGTTAGTAGAAATGCTGGCTCATTGGGCTGAGATCCAAAGGTCAATGTGCCCGGTGTGAGTGTGTAGGGCAGGAGGACAGTGGTGTTAATAGGGAGGAATGGGAAGGGGAAGCTTCTAGGAGAGGATACCAGGACGCCTAAGTAGATGAGTATGGCCTGGTAAAAAGATACGAGAGGGCTGGTGCTTATTCTGTACTTATACACAGGGTGCTTATAACCCAAGACTGTTTGCCCAGGCGGTTGGGTCTGCAGCAGTTATGTTCTTATCTATTTACATAGAGGCAGCTGACTCTCCCTGTGGGAATGGCAGCCGGTTTTTTATGGGTTGGCATCCGGAGGTAAGGCCCTGAGCCAGGAGCCTCCACCATCGTGCTGACAGAGGCCAGGAAGGTGAGTGCCAGGCCGCAGCGCCACCACTCCCTGGATGGTACATTCACAGCAACCCTCCCAGGGGACTGTGAGGACAAGTGGCTTCTGATGTTTGTGGAGGCAAGTTACCCTTCTTTTTTGTTTTTGAAATGAAGTTGAGGCGGGAACAAGAATGAACTGGGGGGCACCAGGCAAGTTTTCTCAGGCTGGTCCTTCCCCCACAGCCAGAAGCCACTGTATGTACATCTTCTTACTCACTCAAACTCCAACTGGCTGTTGGATCCTCTCCTATTGACTTAAGCTGGGCTTTGGCTCCCATCAGCCTCCAACAAAGTCTTTAAATAGTACCTTATAAACAAAGGTGGCAAACATTTCTAATGGATGCCTTCAGTATCTTGAATACTCCTAGACAACTTCATATTCTCAAGGTTTCCATCTTTCACAGTGTGATAAACTCACCATGTTGCTGATAGACACAAATCAGAAAAAAAGACACTAGAACAATAAGGAAGGATATAAGTAATAAAAACATCATTACCTGGTCCAAGCCTCATAATCTTGGGAAGCAGGCCTTTGTACAAAGCTAAAATCCTATAATAGGAAGGGAAAGAGCAACATTCTTAATTCTGAAGATAGAATGGAGTTGTATCTCAGCTTGATTGAGATGCTGACTCAGCATCTACAAGAAAATTGATTTGGAAAAAAAAAAGAAAATTGATTTGAAATCACGTGTATCCTAAACAGGACAATACCTGGTTACATATTTTCTGCACTAAACTGGACAAAGAAAAAAATAAACTGGACAAAGAGAAAGAGTTAATGAATTCTTTATTGCCCAAGCTATGCTGAGTTGATCGTGTCCAACCAGAAATATGATTTTCCTCAGTGAGATGGCTTTTGCACTGAACACAGATCTTACTTTTATGACAGCTGTGTATATGGACAAAATGACTTTTGTAATTGAATTCAAAAGACCACAAACTCGGTCTTCATAAAAGAAAACATGATAGAGTTTAGATCAAAATAATAAAATATTACTTGTTTACTTGAGAATGAGATCTGAGTGAGGAAGGATGAAGAGACAGATGTAAGACTTAAATAAAAAAAGCCTAGCAGAAAAAAACATGCACTTGAGATTTTTCACAGAAAACTACCTTCACAGAACTCTTATGTTTAATTCTCCCAGGAGAATATGAGGAGGTGACATTTTGGCTAGATTTACAGTTCGAAGACAATCATTTGCCTGCGCCTGCATTAACAGGGTGTATTACAACAATATTATGGAAACTGACAAGCACAAGGGTCATCTTAGCATTCTAAGACAAACATGCGGTGGCAGACTATATGATGGTGACCCAAGGTTCTGGATGGTGTAAGAACATGTTGCCAGTATTTCATCATTGTGTTATCTCAAGTTTGCCATTATTCTCTAGAGCTTTACACACACACACACACACACACACACACACACACACACACACACACAATGTAGGAGGGCTTAATGGCTCTCACCAAAATTGAAGTATGGTATGCTTTTAACAGTATTTGAATCCTGCACATTTATTAAAATAAGAATGTTGTTACCCTTCTTCCTGGTAGACTGTTGCCATTGTTTTAAAACAGGTTCTGTACTTGATCTGTCCAGGAACTGGTTGAGGCCCTTGAATCCTACTCTTGGCAACATCAAAAGGGATGTTAATGACTGAGGCTATTGTGCCTGAGAGAAGACCAATCCCAAATTTTCTCAAAAACTCCAAGGTTGGATCCTAAAAGAAAAGAAGAATAAAATAACAGAAAGGGAAGCGGAAGCCCCTAAATTGGCTAAACACTATAAAGCAATATGTATTTAAGCAGAGCATTGCACTCTCCGGCACCCTCCTGTTATTCCAGCGGAACACATTAGGATTTCCTAGGCTGGAACTTGTTTTCTTGACAATCCCATTGGCTATGTTTTTACACATGGTCTAAATTGCTGAAGTACACATTTCCTCACACAGGATTTATAAACACAGTTCATAAAGAAAGACTGGTATGGCATATGGGGATGATTTGTATAATTGGGCTTCACAATGTACTTAGTATTACTGTATCAAAACAGGAGAAATCCAAGCACACTATTAGCTAATTGGCCAGAATATTTTACAAATGACAGCAACTTCCACCATGAAGCCTACTAAAATGCTCATTTGTGTGTGGACCCCCAAATGTTAAATTAAATCAAGGCTACTCTTGGTCTGCTGCTATTCCCCTCCAGGTTTTTTGCATTTATTTTCACGTGTAGCTGATCCACTGTACTGAGAAGTGCTAGCTTCCTGTTATTAACAAACCAACTTGGGGAGTTTGCAAAACAGCCTGTGACATTCTGTGCATTATGAACAGTAGTAAGTTACTGGACTAATTGGCTGAAGAATTTACAACCTATTGTTCCTGAATCTTATTCTTCCTTCATGGCAAAGGAAGAAAAGAGAGAGACAGAGGTACAGAGAAAGGGGTGGGGGTGGGTAGGGAGGTGGGGGAGATAAGAGGAGGTGTGGGGGGAAGAGAGAGAAATATTTCTTCTTTCCATTTGAATGTAGGTCTTTCACTTTGGTCTGATTTGATTTTCCACCCCTCCCTGCTCTGCTTTCTGACATCAAAGTATTTAATTAGGTCTTATGTGGGAGTCACTTTCCTTCAGCCTATTTTGTGCCTAGTGAGCTCACATTATGCTTTGTTATAATGAATTTGCTGGGAAGTTCTCATTATATTTTCAGCCTCAGTTCTAGCCCTGGAGAGAGGTCATCCCACAAACCATAAGTTGCTGATGGCGACCACCCACCCCTCCCCCATCCTTCCCCTGCCCTTTCTTTTGGTCAATATTTCAGGAGGATCTTCACACAGGAACAATAGAAGGTGGTGCCATGATACTGCTTTACCCAGCAGGAGAACAAAGTGGACAGAAATAATTAATATAAAAATTAAAAATTTAAAAAATCGTTGTCTGACCATTGCATGCTTCTAACTTCTATGGAAGGAGAAAACTTCTGGAAGCTCTGAAATTTTCGACTGAGCCAAGAGCCAGCTACCATCACAGAAACCCCTATGTGGCTAAATATAAAAAGTGAGGGTTCGGTAATAATTCTTGGATCTGGGCCATACAGGTGCCGGGTAGGTTTAAAGGGATTTAAAAACCAACAGGGTGTTTCAACAGGAAAAACAATGCAGTGATTGCAGTATGAGTGAGGTGTGTTTAAATAATTCCCCCTCCCCTTATTTTTTTCCTCTTTTACAAGGAGAGAAAAATGCCTTTATGTTACCCTTCTCCATTATGGCCCAGAAGCAGAACCGGAGCGCAGGAGGATGGTGGGTTCAGGACTGGCTCTGGTTTGACTGACCTTGCACGAGTCACCAAATGACACAGAGCCCAGTGTCTAGAAGGGACATGTTTGACACCCACCTTACCTTTGGACTGCATTGTTTTTTTCTGAGAAATAAAAAAAGTAATAGCAGTCAAAGTGCTGTGAGTGGTATATAAGCCTGGCAGAAAATGGACAGTATTATCACTTAGCCTGTTTCCTAAAGTCTCACAGCATCCGGTAATAAGACTCTTTTATGGTGCCCCTGTAACACAGCAAAGGGGACAAGGGTGACTATGATGGCTGGTATGCACCTTGTCCTTCTGTGGCATTCAGGGGACCTCCTCAAGCATGCAGCCTCTGCCATCTCCTGCTGAGTCCCCTGAGGATTGGAGTGGGAAGAAGGACATTCGATGACTGTCACTGTGTTGGAGACTAAAGCCTATGGCCTCCAGCCCATCACAGTCTTCATTAGCACAAGGGTGTGTTGAACCCAGAGTTTCTAGACACTTCACAGACTAAGAGTAACGGCCCACAGTCGTTTCCCCAGAGCAGATGTGCATCAGCATCACCTGAGAGCTTTACAAGATATGGATGCCTGGGCCCCACCTTAGGTTTCCAGATCAAAATCACATGGGACAGGGCCTGCAAGTTATTTTAAAAGATCTCTAGGACTTCTGAAGCTGCCAGGTTGAGGAGTCACGTCCAGGAATCAGGGATCTTGATATCCCATGCAGACGAAGCAGGTCGTCAGCTGCTACCCTTCTGGGCGTTCTAGGAGGGAGAAGAGGCTTCTTGGGCCAACCTGGAGGTATTCCTCACCACCCGGTCTCGGGGCCCCTAGTAGTTTCTTCCTTGGAGCCAACGGTCTGCTTTGTGCAGCAACCCCACTTGGGGTTGCGTCTGCCAAGGGGAGCCCTTTCAGCTTGCCTCTGTTTTTTTTTTTTTTTTTTTTGCTATATGTCATCAACCATTCTCAACATGCAGCCTCTCACGTGCTTCTCCCGTGCGTGTCCTCCTGGCTACTCCCACTGCTCTAGTTTTAGTTCAGGTTCCCATCACCTTACCGGGTCTTGTTTCCTCTTTGTTCTCTATCATCTATTCACAGTGGCACCAGCTCTCTTTTTGTAAAAATAGATCCGTCTGTGGTATTAAAGACCCTCAGTCCTTCTCCACTGCATGGTGAGTAAAGCCAAAGCTCCTAACTTGGTCTCTGGTTTCTTTCCCACAATATGCTTCCAGCTTCTTCCTCCAGCCTCACATTCTATACCTCCACCCTCTCCCATACTATAGTCACACTGGTTAAATCATAATCATGCACATTTCAACCAAGCACTTTTCTTTTTTCTTCAAACAACTTCCATAGTCTATGGTCTAAGGGAAGTCCCTCTCCCTTATAGTCACCTAATGCAGTCCCACTTCTCCTTTAGGGGCCCGCTGAAATCCCACCTTGCCCAGGAGACTTTAGTGGATCCCTATCAAAATTGATGTCTCCCTCCTCCTATACTCTTGAATCTCTGTATGAATCATAATCGTCCTTGCTAAGGTTCACTTTGTGTTTGGTTTATTTTTGCATGTATCTATTTTCCCCACTGGATTGTGAGTTGGCATAGCATAGGAACATGTATTACCCCTCCTTGTACCATCCTTTTTTTAAAAAAATATTTATTTGAGAGAGAGTGAGCAAGCACAAGCACGGAGAGTAGCAGGTAAAGGCAGAGGGAGAAGCCGACTCCATGCTGAGCAGATAGCCTGATGCGGGACTTGATCCCAGGACCCTGGGATCATGACCTGAACTGAAGGCAGATGCTTAACCCACTGAACCACCCCGGTGCTGCTCTTTGTGTCATCTATTACACAGTGTACGCGGTAGGTGCTTAATACACAGTTTTTGGAAACAGTGAGAATCAGGCTTAACCCTTAATCACTATTTCTCAAGATTCAGTGTCTTCTAGCTTAGAAACAAACCCATATTACAACTTTACATTTCTATCTTTCTGCCAGGGGTATTAACCTGGGGACATGACAAGGCATTGGACATTTGCAAAGTGGAGTATTTCCAGGCAAATAAATTGAGACTCTCAGGTCACAGAGCCAAGCCTGGACTTGCTAGATCCCGCTGCTCAGTGACTCACAGAGAGAACCATGATATGGCAGCCTGTGACCAGATTTTAGCCAAAGAATGTGAGGGGAGTAGAGTAAGGTCTTGAAATAACTACTCTTAGGGTTCTTCTTTCTTATACTTCCTGATCTTTTCTTAGTAGGGAGAGGCATCCACTTGCCTCAAGAATGAGTTTATTGTAGCAAGACTATGAAGAGAGAAAAAAGGTAATAGTGTTTTTGGTTTCCAAATTATGCTTTTTCATGTATTACCTTAGTTAATCTTCAGAAACTTTGATGCAAGGACATTACTATTATTCCTGCTTTTTAAAAAATATTTATTTACTCGTGAAAGACACACAGAGAGAGGCAGAGATATAGGCAGAAGGAGCCTGCTTCGGGACTCCATCCAGGGCCCCAGGATCATGCCAACGACAGATGCCCAACCACTGAGCCACCCAGGCGTCCCTCTATTATTCCTGTTTTAAAAATGAGTTAACTATAAGAAGGAAATTTTTGTAACATCCACGTGCATCCAAGACTTTGCTTTAGGACATAGTTTTTCTACTGACACTCCTTAGGGCCAGTGGGTGGGCTGGTGGGAGAGGTGTCCCAGCACCTCTTGAAATTATAAGCAATGCTTCTGTGTATGTGTATATGGGATTTTCTGTAGAGAGTGTCTATAGATTGAATCAGGCTCATAAAAGCTTAAAAACAACTTCATGAAACTATTTTCCCTACCAATAAATTTATAAAGAAGAGGAGAGTTCAGGATTGTAAACCTTGGGGCTGAAAAAAGAAAGCCCTCACTTTCACAGGGGTTATCCGGAAAGTCAACTTAGTGAAAAGATTTCTGCACACATTCTTGCCCTGGAGTCAGGTTACTCATACCTCAACCATTTCTATGAACTCAGTGGTCCTCAAAGTGTAGTGCTTGAACCACCATCATCAGAACCATGTGGGAACTTATTAGAAATAAAAACTAGGGTTCTGTCCCAGGCCTACTGATGGAGATGGAGCCCAGTCTGTTTAAACAGTCCTCCAAATTACTCTGATAGATACTCAAGTCTGAGAACCCCTGGTTAACCAGAAGTTTATTGTTCATCTCTTTGTATCCTTGGATTGGATAAGTGATGTGAGAAGCTCTGGATGTGCTGGGAAGGATTTTACAGCTTTCTTTTGTGGAAACAGGGATTTGTTTCTTTAAGGCCACAGAATTAAAGGCAATGCTGTTAACTCTGTTCAACCTCTCCTACCCCCAGCTCAGTCCAAAGCAAAAATGCACACCTGTGACGTTTTGGATATGAGTGAAACCTCTCACATAGTCTCTG